GGAGTAACTACAAGGCTCACCTGTGGAGTAACTACAAGGCTCACCTGTGGAGTAACTACAAGGCTTGCAGCATGCAAAAAGTTAACTGTCTTTCGTTGTCTCAGAATGTGTAGATAACGTAACGTACGTGATTACTGCTACTGGGAACTGAGTTAAAAGCTCTAACTGTGGCAGACTTATGTCATTTATGTTACATAACATCGTTTGATGTGTTGACGTGTTGTGCTTACCTGTTTCTCAGCTGGCTGTTGACCTGCATCTTGGCAACTGTTGCTGGTGCCACACAAAGACGACATCTCCTGTGAGAGAACATTGACAACATGATGCAGATGAGATAATAGAGGCAAGAACAAAAGAGAACTGATTTACGGCTCTCACTAAATTCTTCTCATTCCTTTACCTCCTACACGTCAGTTGAGAACAAGCCACAGATTGTTTTGATGGGAGGAACGATGGGCAGGCTCAAAAACCTCAGATGCCAATATTGATTTGAACTTCTATTAAAATGCAAGAGTACTCAAAGGAAAAACCTTTAAGCTAAGGCTTTTTTCCAATAACATAAAAGCAAATGTGGACTTGACTGTGGATTTGATTGTAACATTTACAAATAAAAGGCTAATGATGTATGGTGTGATTAGGGTAACACATAAAGCAGAACTACACATGCTGGCTATTGTGTTCCCCAACACGTTCTCTCTGGCACGTCTCTACTGGGAATTGAAGTTTTAAAAGACGTTTTCGTTTTTCCCACAATTAGAAGTTGCCAGTATTAAACTGTGTACAGCCCTGGAGGTTTAGGCGATAGGAAACACATTGGTGTTATCAAATGTAAAACATATCATTAATAAATGGGTGAAAATCGCTTGTGTCCATAATGCGCAGTATTAATATATACCCACATGACAGCTCATTGTTACTTTGTAATTCTACTCCACTACAATTCAGAGGTTAACCTGGTATTTTTACTCCACTACATTTATTTGAGTTACTTTGCAGATTCTGATTAATGATGTGAAATATAAACAACCCTTAAATCAGACTTTAGTTCCACCTGAGTACAATTCAGGGAAGGTGATTGTCAAGTGCCAACAATCAGGAGAGATATGTTACGGTGAGTGAAGCAAGCAGGACCCAAATGCAGATAACGCTGAAAAAAGCCTTTATTTCAAGGATAAAATAAAAATAACTTGGACAAAACAGAACTCTCACCGGTGAACTCATTCACAAGCAAAAGACGAACCAACACTGAACACAGGAAGGGACAAGACTAAATACAGGGAGGGGTAATCACGAGACGAGACACAGCCGGGCAGGGGAGGAGAAACACAAGGGCAACAGGTGAACTAAACACCTCCAGCATCTCTCCCTAAAATGTGCACTTAGGTTATTTCAGACCTCCAGGACAGAGACCGGGAAAATCATCTCTCTTTGGCGGCTCACAGACCACCAAAGGACGGACTAATGACCTCCAGCATGTCTCCCTCACATGGGCACTTCCATAACCTTGCACACCGTGAGTGCCCGGGTACCCGCACTTAAGCACTCCCCCACGGACTAAACCCAGATATTCACACCCACCAGAACCTCGTGCCCCTGGTAACCCTAAAAGGGGGGTGGATTTTGTGGTGCTTTTCTGTCCGCACATCAGCATCCATATTCGTCCTTCTTCACGGCACCACCACCCCCCCTTCTGGGCTGGAGGTTCAAACACTTTAACTTTTTTTGACCGGAGTCATCCCATGTTAATTTTGTCCAAAAACCGGAGCATTCCCTCACCCCTGTCTTCGGCCCCCTGAGTTTCCCCGCCGCAGACTTCCCTGCTTTGTTGCTGTTCCCCCGGGCCGTCCGCACGAGTCCCGCTTATTGGCCTCTACCTTGCCCCCGGGCCGTCCACACGAGTCCCCCTTGTCGGCCTCTGTCCGCCTGAGTCCCTCCTCCGGTCCCCCTCCACCCACCCTGCTGGATATTTTGGACTTTTTGATTTTCCCCCGCTCCGTCTTGAGCGGGGGGGGGGGGGGGGGGGGGGGGGGGGGGGGTAGTTTCACAATCTGTCTGTGTTTTGTCTTGTCTAGATGTCAGTCTTTGGTTTCCTGTTTTATTTTTTTAAAGTGTTCACCCCCCGTCTTGGCTGTTGCTTCCTGTCTCTGTGTTCCTTCCTGCCTGATTACCTGATTGTGTTCACCTGGTGCCCCTGTGTTTTCTCCTCCCTCCTCACCTGTGTCTTGTTTGTTTCATTAGTCCTGTGTGCATTTAGGTTCTGCTTTTTTTTTTTTTCTGAACTGAGGCTGTGTGTGATCCATTATTCCTTTGTCTCACCATCAGACATCATTCATATGAATACAGAACAAGCTTTCAGTTCAGCATGGATAGGTGAATGGAGAAGACACCGTGCAGTCTGTTTGCTCCTCTAAGCCTCTCCTTTTAAAACTCTCTTCTTATGTTCACTTCTAAACAGAGATAGGTGTCAGAAATAATGTCATACTCAACCTTAGAGTTTCAGGAAGCAGAAGTCACTCAGCATCATGTGTTAGCATGAAGACAAAGAGAGTTATTATCAGTGACACCACATGTAGCTGCTAGCATGCAGAGCTAACGGGGCAGGCTGGACTCACAGCACCAGGTGGTTCTGCTCCTTCCTGTCCTCAAGTGGACAAAGGAGTTCATTAGAAATATCAATCTGGAATAATGAAGGAGCTCCCCACTGCTCTCACTGTCACTTCATGCCCTAACATCGGAGGAAATATATCACAAGTGGCATCTAGAACACTTTCATTCATGTTTACAGTATTGAGGTTACCTTTGTTTTTAATGATTGTGTTTACTAGTTATTTTAAATGTGTTTTTTAAGGTTCAAACATCTGTCCAGGGACTACAGGTGTAAAAGAGCCTCTTGGCTAACTCTGGCACATTTACAGAAATGGTTCTTAGTGTGCAATGTCCCTCTTAAATAAATAATATGCATACAAATATATTCTGTTTAATCCTTTACTAGGAAATGTCTACAACAGTCGGTGGCACAGTGATGGATACCTGGAAGCCTCCTGCACAACGATTTACTTATCGAGACCTGAGTGGATGCAGAGGCGCAGGTAAGCTGGTCTGGGGGTTCCCAAAGAAAGGGATCCTCTAAGTGAAATGTGATATTAAAACATGTCTATCTTAAAATCTGCCTGTAGTCACTGAAGTGTAATATCATTACCTCCATTCTCCTCCAAGGTGGCGCTGTAATGCCGGGTTCAGAGATGCCCAGCGCAGAGCCCTGCTCTGTTGAACTGTGTTCTCTGTCTGCAGTCCTCGCTAATGTCACAGCATGTGAGCCCGAGGAGGTTTGCCAAGCGGACAACACGTAAATATGTGCTCTTTCTATCAGGAATAAAGGTCTGACTGATTTGAATAAAGTGTCCCATGTGATCGAACCCTCCATGAGAGAGTGAGGATATTATCCACCTGAGGATTATTGCAGTTATTGATGAATCTGTCAAATGAACAGGTAACTGGTCCAACATTGAGAACCAACCGTCCCAACTAACACGGCTCTCATTTCAGTGGAAAGGGCTTTCAAGTCCATCCATTATTGTTTCTGATCAGCTGGGGAACGGTTCAGTCTATAAATCCTAAAAAACCTTCTCCACTTATTTCCCATTGCACTTCTTTGCCATGGTGGGCCTCGTGATGGACACTTTCTGAAAAGAGATCCAGATGGATGCACAGCGTCTCGGTGTGTGTGCAGTGTTCCTATAAAGTGATCCTTTGACCTCTCCTCCATGCTTTACACATGTTTCAATCCTCCGAGGCCAGCTCCATCAGTACTGTAGTGCTGCGTCCATAAGACCAAACCGCAGATATCCGGGTTGTCCCAAGTAGAGTTGAGCATTACCCATAATGCAACAGAATATCACTGTATGGCCTGTTTTATAAAATACTTCAAGATGTTTAGTATTCCACACGTATTTATGAGAGAGATATTATTATATTTGTACGTGTTTCACCAACACATCCTCACTCCCAGATCGGCCTATGTTGACGTTATGTCAAGTTCCCTGTCGGCTTTTTCCAACGCAAGGGGGGGGGGGCCTTAGCGGCCATTTTCAACGCAGGGGGGGGGCCCTTAGCGTCCATTTTCAGCTTTCCGGGATGTCCATAAACTTCTATATAGCTCCCTAAACGTATGTTGTAGACGACTTGAGATCGCGAGCGAATGCTACCCGCCGTGGGCCATTCTCTGCTGAAGCATACGTTGCGAGACTGCATTGCATTAAAAACATTATGCTCTCTATATATTGTCTTTATTATGCTTTAAATAGTGTCTCGGGCTTTGGCTATAGGGCAGCTCAAAGGATTTTGTCCGGCCGTTGTGAAAACTGCTTTGTTTATTGTCCTTGTTCATCCTCACTCCCAGATCGGCCTATGTTGACGTTATGTCAAGTTCCCTGTCGGCTTTTTCCAACGCAAGGGGGGGGGGCCTTAGCGGCCATTTTCAACGCAAGGGGGGGGCCCTTAGCGTCCATTTTCAGCTGCTTTGTTTATTGTCCTTGTTCATCCTCACTCCCACATCGGCCTATGTTGACGTTATGTCAAGTTCCCTGTCGGCTTTTTCCAACGCAAGGGGGGGGGCCTTAGCGGCCATTTTCAACGCAAGGGGGGGGGCCTTAGCGTCCATTTTCAGCTTTCCGGGATGTCCATAAACTTCTATATAGCTCCCTAAACGTATGTTCTAGACGACTTGAGATCGCGAGCGAATGCTACCCGCCGCGGGCCATTCTCTGCTGAAGCATACGTTGCGAGACTGCATTGCATTAAAAACATTATGCTCTCTATATATTGTCTTTATTATGCTTTAAATAGTGTCTCGGGCTTTGGCTATAGGGCAGCTCAAAGGATTTTGTCCGGCCGTTGTGAAAACTGCTTTGTTTATTGTCCTTGTTTTTGTTTTAAATAAAGCATTTTCAATCGACGCATGCCAAACATGTGACGTCATATGATGCGTTGCATCTGCGCACAGGGAGCAGGGAGACCCCGAGCTCCGTATTCCCCGTATTTTTTAAAGAGAGATTTTCAATCACAGGCGCGTATCAAACGTGTGACGGATATGGTATTAAAAGAGGTAAAAATCACTACATGTCTGGGCATGTTGAGAGCTGTACATACACACAAGGGGAGTCAGTCGGTTCATAAGAGCCAGCATGCGGGAATATGGGATTTGTAGTCTTTCTCGTTGCGTATTTTTCATAGTCTTATATTTCAACAGTTTTAAGACAAACTGTGACTTTTTTGACTTGGAAATTATTATTTAAAATTGACAAACATCATATGTGTAATTCGTGGCACAATTCAAACGGGATCGAAAGATAATCTTTCTCTCCCCATTGACTTCAATGCATACTTTTTCCGAATAAGGTGGAGTAATCCGGAAGGGGAGGGGCTTCGCCTCTCTTCAATAATAACGCGTGTGTCGCGTCAAACTTATTAAAGTCCTTCGATGAATAAGGTAAGAGCTTCATTCGTAATTTGTGCATAATCTGAGACGACGAAACCCATTAAATATACACCAAAACTGTTATTAAGTCCAGTCAGCAAGTATTGTAAGCACCTTAAGAAGAGCAAGGTAGTCGATTTGTGAGTTTGTGAATCCTTTTAAGACATTAATTTAAAATACAACTTACTGGACTATGCTAGCTACCGGCTACTAGCCATTAGCTATTATTCCTTAGCTATTAGCTCGTATAATTTTACATGTTAATAAGGTATGACTGAGTGAATTGACTGAATGACACCCAATAAGAGCAGTCCAAATGATTATTCCTACATGTTTATGACAGATGTGTATCTTATGCACAGCCCTTCAAATATAGTGTTACTTTTATTTGTCAAATATAATCATACTTTCCCTTTACTTATCCCACAGAGGGGACATTTACAGACATTTAACCTTAATTAAGAAGAGGCATGCATACATTTAAGATTAAAAAAAAAAAAAGACAATTTATGAAACTACACATCCAGGTTGAACACAAAGATAGTGTAAAAGAGGGGGACCCAAGTTCCCATCAGCAAAAACACGTGGGTTTGCTATCCTGGCTCCAAGATGGTGGAATGAGCTCCCCATTGACATCAGGACAGCAGAAAGCTTGCACATCTTCCGGCGCAAACTGAAAACTCATCTCTTTCGACTCCACTTCGAGCGATAGAACTATTAACAAAGCACTTATATACTAATAAAGGGCTGGCTTACCTAAAGCCAGTTGAGTAGCACTTGAAATGTTTTAGCTCTATGAAACCTGATGTACTTTTATGATTCTGTTTTCTTCAAGTTTGTATTTTGTTAGTCGAACGCACTTATTGTAAGTCGCTTTGGATAAAAGCGGCAGCTAAATGCAATGTAATGTAAAAGGTACCTTGGCTCATTTTCTAAATATTGTTTCTCTTCTTTCCACACAGGTCTTTTGAAGTTGATATACCCCTGTGATACCCCTGTGATCTGCCATTCTATCACCCACCCAAAGGCACTTTTAAGAGCCACATTTGTTTTCTCAATCCGTCCTTTTCAGTGTGCCTTGTCCTTACCTGTGTTGCTGTCTGTGTATCTCTCTCTCTCTCTCTCTCTCACTTTTGTATATTCTCTCTCGCTATCTGTGCTTACTCCTGTTTTGTCCATCTCTTTGTCCACTTTTGCTTTTCTATTTTTGTATATATTACTGTTTGTCTGTCTTGGAGATATGACTCGACCAAAGTTACGGCCGTGCCCTGCTTGCCAGACTCTTAATAAGGCAAGCATCAAAATGTGTACTGTCTGTTATGGGACCCTGTCAACAAAGACGAAAATCATAAAAAAGGCAGCGACCCTGGACGGCAAATGGGGGCAAAGAGTGGTTAGAAATCGAAACGTTAACCGCATCATTGATTCTGCCCGTATTGCAGTAAGTCAAAATGCTCATAGCTCATTAATGTCTGCTAAGTGAAATTAAGCTTTATGTGTTTAATATATCATAAGACAATATGATCAGGCTTTTCAATAAAAATACATAGTCTCATTTTCATCAGTTTCTGTCATCCTGCAGGGATACTTTTTACATCTTTGACTTGATTTGAACAAATAAATATTATTTAAACAATTAACTCGTCTAAATAAGCATTTCGGCTACTACAATATTGATATCAGGGTTTTTAGTCAAAAGTCCAACCCCAGGTAGAAGCCATCTCTACCTATGTATTATGTTAAAGAGCAACAATAGTCAGTGTTTCCTATCAAATAATAATCCTGAGTATAATAATAATAATAATAATAATAATTATCAAATAATAATCCTGAGTATAATAATAATAATAATAATAATAATTATCAAATAATAATCCTGAGTATAATAATAATAATAATAATTATAATAATAATAATAATCTCATGACTTGTCCCACCTCGCCCTCTTCTTCTCCATCCTCAGCCTCAACAAACATGCCACCACCACAGACATCTTCACCCAAAAAGGAGTGGCCAAAGAAAAAGAAAACAGTTGGTAAGTTTAGCATTGGAAATATTACTGCACACCCTATTATTACATTCGCTTCCTGCCAAATTTGACTTGTTACATTTATCGGGTACTAAAACCAGTTTTCCTCACATCACCAGGTCTTTGAATTTGTAAGCCTGAACACAGATTGTTATTCTTTAGTTATTATTTGTATTCTTTAATAAATAAACAATAAACTTGACTTTGACCTATTTGGCGTTATTTTGGAACACCATGGTTAATGGCAACCCCTAACTTAACCTAAGAGGGTTATGATGATTCCAGCACAGCACAATGTGTTGGACTCATATTTGATTCAGCCATCAAACATCACATTCATGACCTAATAAACGTGTTTTGTTTTTTTGTTATTTAAGGTTGCCGCAAATGTAACCTTCAGAAGGTCTTCCTCTTTGAGAAGATAATTGGAAGAAGAATGAATGGGGTAAGATATACAAGGCTTAATTGTATATATTTTCTCATTAACTCATTCAGGCCTTTACAAGAAATACTAAAAGTAATATAATAAGTAATATCCAGTAATTGCTTAAAATGATAAATGATTGTTCCTTGTGTGTTTTATGTGTTTGTGTAGGGAAAAGCAGAGTGTGAAATATGCTGGTTGCCTTGCTCTGTGTGGTAAGAAGTAGTAAATATTGCATTTATACATATTTGTATTGTTTTTTAAACCTTTGAGGACAAAACTGCGTGTTGTTTTCTGCCCTCTAAAATCCAACATAGTGTTGATTACGTAACCAAAGTATTACAAAAACGTCCCTATCTTTGTAGCATCAAAACAAAAGTAGCACACAGAAAAATATGTATTAGCTACAGTTCCTAAGTTGGGGACCCCTATGGCAGTTAAGTATGCTCCTTTTTTAAATCAATGATAAAGTGCTGTTTGCCTGAGTTAAATAGGGTTGTGTTGGGATTTATTCCAGGAGCGCTAGCCGTGACGATAAAACAACATTAAACTTGGCCGCTGTACAATAGCTGCCCACTGCTCCTAGTACTAGGATGGGTTTAAATGCAGAGAACACTTTTTCCCTGTGCATGTATGTGTGACCATTAAACAGGGTTTCATCCTCCAATTATATATGTAAAGGTCCCATGTCATGCTTTTCCGGTTATTACCCCGTCCCCTATGTAGCGTGTTCTGCATGTAAACGGTCTGCAGCGTCACACACCCTCAAAGTACACCCTTGTAGCGAGGTAAAACACTAACACAGAAAATACCTGTCTATGCTGCCCCAGAACGCCTCGTTGGACATTTTTCTTTTTCCATTTTTTTTTCTTCCGGGGCAGGTTGACGTCACTAAGTCCAAATGGACCAATAGGCACACAGCTATAGAACAATAGGCACACAGCTATAGAACAATAGACACACAGCTATAGAACAATAGACACTCAGCTATAGAACAATAGACACACAGCTATAGAACAATAGACACACAGCTATAGAACAATAGACACACAGCTATAGAACAATAGGCACCACAGCTATAGACAATAGACACACAGCTATAGAACAATAGACACACAGCTATAGAACAATAGACACACAGCTATAGAACAATATGCACACAGCTATAGAACAACAGACACTCAGCTATAGAACAATAGACACACAGCTATAGAACAATAGACACCACAGCTATAACAATAGACACTCAGCTATAGAACAATAGACACACAGCTATAGAAACAATAGACACACAGCTATAGAACAATAGCACACAGCTATAGAACAATAGACACCAGCTATAGAACAATAGCACAGCTATAGAACAATAGACACACAGCTATAGAACAATAGACACACAGCTATAGAACAATAGACACACAGCTATAGAACAATAGACACACAGCTATAGAACAATAGACACTCAGCTATAGAACAATAGACACACAGCTATAGAACAATAGACACACAGCTATAGAACAATAGGCACACAGCTATAGAACAATAGACACACAGCTATAGAACAATAGGCACACAGCTATAGAACAATAGGCACACAGCTATAGAACAATAGACACACAGCTATAGAACAATAGGCACACAGCTATAGAACAATAGGCACACAGCTATAGAACAATAGACACACAGCTATAGAACAATAGACACACCTATAGAACAATAGGCACACAGCTATAGAACAATAGGCACACAGCTATAGAACAATAGCACACAGCTATAGAACAATAGCACACAGCTATAGAACAATAGACACACAGCTATAGAACAATAGGCACACAGCTATAGAACAATAGACACACAGCTATAGAACAATAGACACACAGCTATAGAACAATAGACACACAGCTATAGAACAATAGGCACACAGCTATAGAACAATAGAGAACAATAGACACACAGCTATAGAACAATAGGCACACAGCTATAGAACAATAGACACACAGCTATAGAACAATAGGCACACAGCTATAGAACAATAGACACACAGCTATAGAACAATAGACACCACAGCTATAGAACAATAGGCACACAGCTATAGAAACAATAGGCACACAGCTATAGAACAATAGGACACCAGCTATAGAACCATAGGCACACAGCTATAGAACAATAGGCACACAGCTATAGAACAATAGACACACAGCTATTAGAACAATAGGCACACAGCTATAGAACAATAGACACACAGCTATAGAACAATAGACACACAGCTATAGAACATAGACACACAGCTTATAGAACAATAGACACACAGCTATAGAACAATAGACACACAGCTATAGAACAATAGGCACACAGCTATAGAACAATAGACACACAGCTATAGAACAATAGACACACAGCTATAGAACAATAGACACACAGCTATAGAACAATATGCACACAGCTATAGAACAATAGGCACACAGCTATAGAACAATAGACACACAGCTATAGAACAATAGGCACACAGCTATAGAACAATAGACACACAGCTATAGAACAATAGACACACAGCTATAGAACAATAGGCACACAGCTATAGAACAATAGGCACACAGCTATAGAACAATAGACACACAGCTATAGAACAATAGGCACACAGCTATAGAACAATAGACACACAGCTATAGAACAATAGACACACAGCTATAGAACAATAGACACACAGCTATAGAAACAGACACTCAGCTATAGAACAATAGACACACAGCTATAGAACAATATGCACACAGCTATAGAACAATTGGCACACAGCTATAGAACAATAGACACACAGCTATAGAACAATAGGCACACAGCTATAGAACAATAGACACACAGCTATAGAACAATAGACACACAGCTATAGAACAATATGCACACAGCTATAGAACAATAGGCACACAGCTATAGAACAATAGACACTCAGCTATAGAACAATATGCACACAGCTATAGAACAATAGGCACACAGCTATAGAACAATAGGCACACAGCTATAGAACAATAGACACTCAGCTATAGAACAATAGGCACACAGCTATAGAACAATAGACACACAGCTATAGAACAATAGGCACACAGCTATAGAACAATAGACACACAGCTATAGAACAATAGACACACAGCTATAGAACAATAGACACACAGCTATAGAACAATAGACACACAGCTATAGAACAATAGACACACAGCTATAGAACAATATGCACACAGCTATAGAACAATTGGCACACAGCTATAGAACAATAGGCACACAGCTATAGAACAATAGCACACAGCTATAGAACAATAGGCACACAGCTATAGAACAATAGGCACACAGCTATAGAACAATAGACACACAGCTATAGAACAATAGGCACACAGCTATAGAACAATAGACACACAGCTATAGAACAATAGACACACAGCTATAGAACAAAGAGGCACACAGCTATAGAACAATAGGCACACAGCTATAGAACAATAGACACACAGCTATAGAACAATAGGCACACAGCTATAGAACAATAGACACACAGCTATAGAACAATAGCACACAGCTATAGAACAATAGACACACAGCTATAGAACAATAGCACACAGCTATAGAACAATAGACACACAGCTATAGAAAATGCACACAGCTATAGAACAATAGGCACACAGCTATAGAACAATAGACACACAGCTATAGAACAATAGGCACACAGCTATAGAACAATAGGCACACAGCTATAGAACAATAGGACACACAGCTATAGAACAATGGCACACAGCTATAGAACAATAGGCACACAGCTATAGAACAATAGACACACAGCTATAGAACAATAGACACACAGCTATAGAACAATGGCACACAGCTATAGAACAATAGCACACAGCTATAGAACAATAGACACACAGCTATAGAACAATATGCACACAGCTATAGAACAATGGCACACAGCTATAGAACAATAGACACACAGCTATAGAACAATAGCACACAGCTATAGAACAATAGGCACACAGCTATAGAACAATAGCACACAGCTATAGAACAATAGACACACAGCTATAGAACAATAGGCACACAGCTATAGAACAATAGCACACAGCTATAGAACAATCACACAGCTATAGAACAATATGCACACAGCTATAGAACAATAGACACTCAGCTATAGAACAATATGCACACAGCTATAGAACAATAGGCACACAGCTATAGAACAATAGGCACACAGCTATAGAACAATAGACACACAGCTATAGAACAATATGCACACAGCTATAGAACAATAGACACACAGCTATAGAACAATAGCACACAGCTATAGAACAATAGGCACACAGCTATAGAACAATAGGCACACAGCTATAGAACAATAGGCACACAGCTATAGAACAATAGACACACAGCTATAGAACAATAGGCACACAGCTATAGAACAATTGGCACACAGCTATAGAACAATAGACACACAGCTATAGAACAATTGGCACACAGCTATAGAACAATAGGCACACTCTGCCAGGGCAGACTCCTGAGCTGCTCGGGAGTCTGCCCCACGAGGCCCCAGGAGCGGACAGTGTGAGGTGGATGTCCCGCTGTGTTTCCCTGGATGCTGGATATACACCAAGTGCCGTGATAAAACCACGGCCCCCAGACCCCACGCCAGCATTCTCATCTGTTTGTCATTACTGGTGTCATTTCTGATGTTCCGCTTGTAACGGTGGTTGGACTCATCAGAACAGGGTGGGCGAGCTGACCAATCAGAGCACAGTGGGCTCATAGGGGGGGGGCAGGAAGGAGCTCCAACAAGCCGTGTAGGACAGAGAGTGAATACACACACTATACAGAGATGCTGTGAGAAAACCAATGTGAGTTTGGAACATTGAACAATGTAAATATATTCTAGTAGACCTCAACAATGGAACTATGATCAGGAGAATGGCCATGACATGGGACCTTTTTAATACACATAATAATAAAGGACTCTTTTAAATGAGTCCTAAATCATTTATCGGTAAAATATGTTTGTGTTTAATTTTTAATCTATGATCTTGAAATGTCATCTTTGTTCTAATGACACTTTGTGCATTTCACAGTAACAGAACCTGGGATAACACATGGGAGCCTGCCTGTAATTTTGAGTGCCTCACTGCCACACCCGAGTCGCCAGGTCCCTCTGGTTCAGCATGAGAGCTGCCTGGTCAACATGTTGTGGATCCAGTCAACACGTACAATATGTAGCCTACATATGTTTACTGTGTTTATTTATCTATGTCTTTTATTTGTATAAATGTTTCGGATATGGAAGTGTTTTATTTGTTGCAGTGTCATTTAGTATTTAAAAAATAAATACTTATTGTTTGATCATGGGCTCTATATTTATTGAGACAGTAAGCACAGCGAGTCACTCAATTGATTTTCTTGAAATACATATATATTTTACAATCCTATCTACAACCCTCTTGCTTTGCAAACCGGAAAACACTTTATATAAATACTATCTAACTAGCTTTGTTTTCTAGAATATGAAGTTGTAAATACTAAATAGACAGTGCATTTAATAGTATAAATGTGGTTTAACATATCTGCACGATCAGGTTATCAATATGTAATTGTCATATTGATGAAAAGTATAATTACATTAAGTATTTATATTAGGGCTGTCAGTCGATTAAAATATTTAATCGCGATTAATTGCACATTTTTTATCTGTTCTAGATGGATATTTTTCAAGTTTTAATACTCTTATCAACATATGAGTGGACAAATATGCTTATATGTTTATCATTTGAACAATGACAAATAATCTCATGAATTCTCATGAACACACACACTGAACATTACAAATATTCGCCTCAATTCAACCTGGAACCTCTCATACAATACAAAGTGTGTGTGTGTGTATATATACTGTAATGGATCGTTGGAGCTATGTGCAGCTCAAGGCATATATGCTCGAACGGGAGCTGCCCTGGACGCTGCAATCATGTTGCGCACTATCCGTGCTGAGTGTGCTGACTTCTCGTACAATGTCCCACTGTCTGGCTTCCTGCATAAAGTCAAGTGCTCGGCGCAGTTGTGGTGAAATGTCGCTCCTCTGTTTTCATTGAAACAGCTCCTTATATCTGTTAGCGCAGCTAGCTAGCACTAGATGCTAACAACAACAACAACAACAACAACAACAACAACACAAGGTGTGCCTCGTTCGCGCCACACATACACACACCCTCCCGGTCCTCCCGATGGCCAGTCAGGGCCTGCCGGTGAGCGTGGAAGTGTGGTCTGCCACAAGCGGGGCGGGCGGGGAGCGGGGGCTGTCAGCATCAGCTTGCGGATGGTATTTTAAACTCGATGCGCTCTGAAACTACGGGGCGGCCGAGGACAAAACATACACATTTGTTAATCGCATTAAAAATAATTAGTGGCGTTCATTTTTATTAACGCGTTAACTTGACAGTATAATATTATATATATGTGATATAATTAACATCATGATAGCTGTGGTTAAGAGCTCCCTATAACAGTTTGTCTCATGTTTGTAGCCCCTTTTATAGCAGAATTAGCCTTTAAACATGCACGGATGTCAAGGTTGAAAAGTCGATATTTCAAAGCAGGAGCCATGCAGGGTCTTCATACTGACATATGTTACTCTGCAGGTCGAGGTCTTTCCAACAATATATTTGGTGTAGCCCTACCCAAAAGTTTTAATTTTCTCATATCACAGGCCAACCCTGTCTCGTCAAAATTACGTTCCGACAGAAATAAACTGCATTCCCAATTACGTTTAGGTAGAAACGTATTTCTCCCACTTCACGTTTGTTTTGGACGTAACTCTACGTTTATTTTCTACATATATTTGCCATTTATTGTCTTGCTTTCCTACAATGCGCCTGACCACGCACGGGGCTGCTTATTATAAATGCATTGTAAAAAAAATGGTTCGGCTGCATTCAATATTACACATCGACCCCGTACCGTAGTTCTTTATTTATCTACAGAGATTTGACTCAACACGGACACCGGAAACTGACACCGTTTTTAATTTCACAATAAAGTTGATAGTAATATTATGTTTGATATGTATTATGTTTTATTAACTAGACCACTGGGTCATGTTATTAAGACCCTCTTTTCTGTCGGTTTGGTGTTACAAATATCCAAACAATATGTGGATAACAACAACATACATACGTCATAAACTAAACTGTAAACAGTAGTATATTTTATTGTGTTAACACTATTATCGTGACAGTTTGAAACGCCTAGTGGTTAAAGCATGTTATTGAATTTCTTTGATATGTTAGATTTTATGAAAAATACATATATTAAGAGTACATACAAAATAGGGGGAAAGTAGATGGTCAATGATAGAAACATAGATGAAAATATCAAGAAGATGCTGTAAGTCAGGGGTGTCAAACTCAATTTCATCACGGGCCACAATAGCATTATGGTTACACTCAAAGGTTTGGACACACCTTCTCATTTGAATGTTTTTATATATTTTAATAATTGTCTACATTGTAGATCATTACTAAATACATCAAAACTATAAAAGAACACATATGGAATTCTCTAGTAAACTAAAAATGGTTAAAAAATCCAGAATATGATTTTTATTTTAGATTGTTCAAATTAGCCCCCATTTTGCCTTGATGACAGCTTTGCACACTCTTGGCTTCTCAATATAAATATACATATGTAAATATATAATATATATTAATAATGTATTATATTACATTATTGCCTCTGCATTGGATTATTATCAGTTCTCGTAATAACTTCACAAATAACTACATCTGAAAGCAGAAGTCTAGGGCAAACAATTGAAAGCAAATATTCAACAATTACACCAATTGTATTGAATATAATAATCTTTGCAAGCTCTTGCGGGCCACATAAAATGAGGTCGAGGGCCGGATTTGGCCCACGGGCCTTGAGTTTGACACCCCTGCTGTAAGTGATCTCTACAATAAAACAGTTTAGTGCCGGATATACAAAGATATTAATAGGAGGATGTGCAAAAGAGACAAACTAATTAACCTTTATTCAAACATTAAAGAATACTTTAAATTAAGGTATTCTTTTAAATAAGAAAAAACACGTTGGGGGTATCTACAGATGAATATTAAGCCTGACAAAGTACTTAAAGTCTAATATATTGTATAGTTTGTTGTTGGAACTTGACAATCAACTTTCCTGCACTTATATTAAACCCTTATGTTGTGTTCGGGGGTCCCGTGACCCGTTTCAAGTTAAAGTTATATAATAACTACGCTCTAGTTTGTTTATCGGAACAAGGCTTCATGATATCCTCCACAGCAGCTATAGAAACACTACAACACTTATTTTTGACAATTTTAGCCAAGTCTGAAGGTCTCTAAAAAAAAAAGTGTATAATTTGGTGTTGGGGTCTGGGGAGACCCAGCCGAATTGTTGTGGGTGACTCGGGTCAAATTTGGCCCAATCAAGATTCATCTTTGACTTTAGACACCCCTCCCCCTTCATCCACTGTAACAATTTTTTTCGCAACATGCACCTGGTCTCCCCTCCCTCTGCCCCTCCCCCCAAGGGAACTCAACCTTTCTCAAAGAATATGTACACCAACACTTGAACCTGAACTCACACATGTGCAATATGTGGTGTAATGTGCTTTGGGGCATAACATTAAATGACAACAGGATTGTACGGTTATGAATGCATTTTAAGTTATATATATATATATATTATATATAAGTTATGATGTAGTTAAAACAATATTGGATAATAGTCATTTTTGTTGTGTTTTGGACTGAGATAAATGTAAGTGTTACACAAGTTCATTTGAAAAACAGAAAAAACTCCATCCATCCATCTTCTCCCACTTATCCGTGGTCGGGTCGCGGAGGTAGCAGTTCCAGCAGACAGAGACTGTCATCAAAATGCATCCTTGGCATCTCAGGAAATTAGATCCCTTATTGTGAAAGTCATGTTTTAACTAACAGCTAGAATAGCTATATTGACACTAATTATGTGTAGACATACAATATACTAACAAAGAAATAAATTAATAACACCTGTACACAGATATATATCTATTTATTCCCAAATATACATACACAACATTGATGTGTCTGATGTAAACATTACAAATATTGCAAAGGATATTTATTTAGAAAGAACATACAAGGATCAGATGAGTTTTCATAGTATATATATATATATATATATATATATATATATATATATATATATAATATATATATATATATATATATAAATACAGTGTGGAGGATTTATATGGACAGTGATATCAGATATAAAATGATATATGAGTGATCTGTATTGCTACCAGAGGGGAAGCAGCTGGACCAGGTTGTGTCCACAGTGTTCCTCAGATAATTGTGAATGAACGATGACAACGGTATAGGTTGGTTGTCTATTTTAGATCCTGGGAAATAGTGAATATCAGTAGCCACAGAGTGGTTTAGATTCTTAGTGCAAGTAGGGCATACATGGGAACTGATAGTCTTGCAGAATTAAGTTAATTGTCCAGTATGAGAAAGGTGTCAGTTTTCTAATCAATTTCGGAATCAGAGTCACTGTCGAAATCCTCAGATGAAGCACTCTGCAAGAAGTTGATGTTCTCTGCTCCAGACAAAACTTGCAGGTAACACGCTCTGGTGTGCGTCTTCATCTCTCTGATGTTCTGCCTCTTCCTGAAGACAATGCTTTGGACCCCTTTCAACCCCTCGTCGCTTAGGCTCCAAGGCAGGTCTTAAATAGAAAACAATAACAAAGAACGTCTGTTAGTAATACAGTCATTATTGCATTGTATGTGTAATTGGATTTAAAATATGAATACATACTTTGTATCGGCTCACTGGGCAGAAGGCAGGACAGCTCTTTCAGGGAATCAGCACGGGCTTTGAGAGCTTTCCAATGGTGGTCCATCTCTGTGACCACAATCTTCTTCTCCTCCTGAAGTCTCCTTATTGCCATGATGATGTCAAACGCCTTTCTTTTAGTCTTCAGATCCACTGAGTCTGGATTGCATTTATGAGAAAGACTTAAGTCATGTGTATGTGAAATTAAAATGAATAGAGTCCTATGGGGTTACAGATTGACATGTGACACATTATGGGTTATGTGTCAGATTTGTTGGAAAGTAGTCAACAGACTAATGTACATACCACTGTGCGGTTGCTGCCATGGCCAAGCTGTCTCGCCAGACAGAATGGTTTCCAAGCACAGAGTTTCTGTACTTACAACCATTCGGTTGTAAGTTTCCACAACAGAAGTCAGGATCCCCTTCTCTGTCCTGATCTTGCGTCGGATCCTGGCACGACCTTTGCTGCCGTCTGTGTCTTTATAAAGACGCTGGGATCGTCTCTTGATACTAGCCACCAGCACCTCAATTCTGCTGGCCAAGGCATCAGCATCATTTGAGGTGGTTGTTGTTTTTTTGCGGCTAAGAAAGAAATAAGTGAGTTAATAAGATTTAATATTAGAACGTTTCTGAAATACCTTGACTTCAACCAAACTGGTCTAGGTATAGAGCCTCAATCAAAATCAAAATTGCAGAAGGGCGTTACTTTTTCTAAAGTCATATATGTTAATCATTTCCTCAGTACATGACATGTCACTTGTTAGACACTTTTATCCAAAGCGACTTACATACTCAATACTGTGGACAATCCCCACGGGAGCAATTTGGGGTGAAGTGTCTCAGGGTTTGAACCTGTGACCCCCTGATCCCAACACCAACGCACTAGGCCACTGCGCCATAGCCTCCCTTACCTTCTGCCCACTCCTTGACATCATTGACCCAGTCTTCCAATTTGCTCTCTGTCACTGCCATTTGCACTTTCATGGTCTCCAAGTTCTGCAACTGGTTTTGCAGAACTTTGGTGGTCTACAATGACAAACAATCAGAGCCAACAAGAACAATTATTTCAGCCCACAGCTTCGAATAATGCCAAAACATATAGCATCTTAAAACACATTGCTGATGTCCTTACCTTCTGATATCGGTGACACAGTGAGGTTGCCAAATTTCTGAATTTTTGCTGATTCCAGCGCATGGCCATGAGAGTAAGCATGTCTGTGCGTCCTGCAAACACATACAATATGATTTTTACATTATTCCAATTACCTATTGTGCTTAGGATGTTATAAGAGCATTATGTCGTCGTCTCACCTGCTTTTGTCATGTGTTTGGTTGTTACAGCAATCCTAGAGAGAAAGGCATTGCACTGTTCCACTTCCTCTCCGAGTGTTAAGCCAGCCCCCTCCTGATACGCCCCACTCCATTTCACCTGGTTAAAAACAAATATTTATACTTTTCAAATCAACAAAAAAAAGGTTAGGTGTTCAACAGTTTTTTTTTTAGCAATTGGTAATGTTTCCTTACCTCGCATTTGAAATCATGGGCTTTGGCATGAAATACCGAGAGGAAGGGCCTCATCTGGAGAAGGTGCTGAAGCTCTGGGCAGCTCTTTGTAACTTTTTTAAGGTAGGGCCAAAATGTACATGTGACATCCATACAAAAAAAAGTGATATTCCTGCTGGCCAGCTTTTCTTGCAAGTACAAGGGATAGGCAAATATTTCTCCCCTGTACATATTCAGTGCACAGAGCAGTACTCCATGGCGACACACCGCAAGCTCCAGGCCCTCCTCGTCTACCTTGCTGGTGGATCTTTGGGAAGTCTCTCTGGCTGCGGACCACTCCCCTCCACAAACACCTCTTCCAGAGACCTAAAATATTGAAAATGGTTGATAAAAGTCCAAAGAATAATCTTAACATATTAAATAGAAGGCAACCTGTATATATATTTAAGAATAATTACGAATATAATTATTATAGTATGTCATTTTACATGTTTAGTTGTCCTGTGGATATAGTCCACAAATCGTGTCACTTCTTCATCCTTGGCAATGAAGACGCCTTCAAATGTGGCCTTTTCCTCGGATCTAAATACAACATAGGTTTTTGTCAGTGTTTAAAGGTGTCAGGATAGTTATATTACAGAGTTTTGTTTGTTATGAGTTAAACACGGAGATTAGAAACATTTCCGAGTACCTAGCTGCATGCTTGAAGCGGTAGTGCTTACGGTTTCCATCCACTGAAACCGCAAGCATATCCGGGGTGCATGCAGGACAGATGAAGCTCTCCTCTTTGCAGATGTTTTCCACCTCAAATCGGACAGCCTCCCACTCAAAAAAACTTTGCTGAAAGTTGCCTGCTGAGATCTTCCCAGACTATTTCCAAAAAATAAATTAACCATTAATTCAGTGAAGAAAGTATGCAACTAACATATTTTAAATCCACAAAACCAACAGACGATCAATACTGTAGGATACATAAATCTAGTACTCACACGGCCAAAGCGGAAAGTTCTTTGATCCAGCATTCTTAAAAATGCCTGGCAGGAAAGTCCTGGTGCGGCCATCTTCATCTCTTCAAATGAATAAAACACATCTGTTTCATAAATTGTAGAGAAGTGAAGTGTTGCAGGCCAGTAGCCACTCTGGATAAGATCGTCCAATCCAGCAGCCCAAGTGGCATCACATGTGTGACAACTCAACTCAGGCATGCTGAGATCGTGTCTTCCTAGAAAAAACGAAACGCATTAATTGTAATGCAAAACGTAGCAAATAGTTGTATGTAAAATTCACACACACATCTATGGCAACACTTGTGTGTTGTATAATTGTTAAATATATATATTTTAGTAGTTTTCAAACAAGACAAATATTAACATATTTACCATTAATTGTGACCACAGCAACAACCTTTCCTGGGTTGACCCTTAAGGACACTGTTGAGCATCCACAGATTTTCTCAGGCATTTCTACAGGCATAAGCCGAACTGAAAAAGATCATACATATGAATTAAGACCATTTGTTTCGATTCGGAAATATAACATTAATAATTTAAATTTCTACAGTGCCTTTCACGAAACCCAAGGACGCTTTGTGATGTGAAGATTTATCAAACCAGACAATGCCGTACATTGCTAAAACAGTACTGAGGGACTAACTAATATTGAGTATACACAAGATTAAAAATTAAATAAAAGGAAATATGAGTCAAAGGGGCATTGTTTGAAATGTCTAATGACCAATGATCTCTAAAAGTTCAATAATGAAATTAATTTTAAACACTTACCACAATGGGAAAGAGCCTTGTCAGCAACAAAAGTTGTTGGAGGTAATGGCTGGAAGAATCCAGCTGTCATGGCATCTCTGTTGTGAAGTACTTGTCTGGTGTGCATGCTAACATCACATTCAGCACAGAGGAAAGGGCGTGGTCGGCAGTCACGACAACGGACAGCAGCTGGATTGCTCCCACACTGTTGGCAGATACGGTTTGCAACATTTTCTTGTGCTGCTGTGCTGTTAATCAGACGGGGCCTCTCAGTCTTCCACCTCTCTAAAAAGAGACTTTTTCTTGTGCCCCAGTCTAAAGAAGCCACAGGAGGAGCTGTTGGAGCAGATGTTTCTAGCTCATCACCAGAGGCATCGCTTAGTGATAGCTGGAGATCTTGTAGAAAACACTCTGTTAAAAGATAAGGAATGAAACAAAAAAACATTGTTTTATACTACATCAAAGTTTACTGTATGGAGTAGCTGTGGCTTGGAAATATTTAACAGCTATGTTTATAATTATGATAAATTGTTTTTAAAATTCAAACATGGAATTAACATTTCCAAATCAGTGCCACATCTCACAGAAACAAGTACAGACATATGGAGATACTGATTTAGGCTTAGAGAAACACAATACATTACATACCAACAGTCTCTGGAGCAAAGACCATCTCACAGTCAGTGTCAGGAGCATCAACACGAGGAGCTTTCCTCCGACTGGGACCAGCTGTACAAAACAAAAACCTTTACCATAAATACTATTCCAATGTCTTCATTAACCCTTAGATAGAATTAGATTTAGTCAAATAATCTGGTCAAGTGCTATAATCATGTCAGATTACCTATCAAATGTAAACATATTTTGGCCGTTGGTTTGGTTTCCACCAATACTTAACTCGATAGCATGTCTGCATGTAAGGGAGGAAACGTATACAAAATGTACACCACCCCAAATTTATCATGTTGTTGATAGTGCTACAGATGCGCTGCGAATAAAATTAGACTGTTGCTCCTTTGAAAAAGAAGAAAATAAAACAACATAGACTAGCTCCATGGCATAATGCCGAAACCCCGCAAAATAAAGCAAAAGTCGAGACAACTTGAAAGGATATGGCGTTCTACTAAACTTGAAGAATCTCGTTTAATTTGGCATATTACTCTCAATGAATATAAGAAAGCATTGCGTAAAGCGAGAGCAGCCTACTACTCTTCATTAATAGATGAGAATACGAATAATGCAAGATTTCTTTTCAGCACTGTAGCCAGGCTGACAGAGAGCCACAGCTCGATTGAGCCTTCTATTCCCATAGCACTCAGTAGTAATGATTTTATGTGCTTTTTTAACGATAAAATTGTTACTCTTAGAAACAAAATTAATGACCTCTTGCCTTTGACCAGTATAGTGTTATCAACAGCTCCCGGAAACATAAGTTCTAATATTACACTAGATAGTAAACTAGAATGCTTTTCAGCCATAAACCTTGAACAATTAAATTCAATGATTCTCTCTTCTAAACCATCAACGTGCATGTTAGACCCAATTCCAATTAAGCTGTTGAAGGAAGTTTTTCCATTAATTAGCACTTCTTTATTAAATATTATGAATATGTCTTTATTATCAGGCTATGTTCCACAATCATTCAAAGTAGCAGTGATAAAACCGCTTCTTAAAAAGCACAACCTCGATCCAGAGGTTTTAGCCAACTATAGACCTATTTCTAATCTTCCGTTCCTCTCAAAAAATTCTTGAGAAAGCGGTCGCAAAACAGTTGTGTGATTACTTAAAAAACAATGATTTATTTGAAGCTTTTCAGTCTGGCTTTAGAACACATCATAGCACAGAGACAGCTCTGGTTAAAGTCACAAATGACATTCTAATAGCCTCTGACAAGGGACGTGTCTCTATTCTTGTTTTGCTCGATCTCAGTGCTGCATTTGATACTATCGACCATGATATCTTATTGCAAAGACTAGAGCACTTAGTTGGCATACAGGGAACTGCTTTAGGCTGGTTTAGGTCCTATCTATCTGAACGCTCTCAGTTTGTACGTGTCAATGATGAATCTTCCACGCAAACCAAAGTTAGCCATGGAGTGCCACAGGGCTCAGTGCTCGGACCTATTTTGTTCACATTATATATGCTTCCGTTAGGCAATATTATAAGGAATCATTCTGTAAACTTTCATTGTTATGCGGATGATACTCAACTATATTTATCAATCAAGCCTGATGAAATTAATCATCTAAATAAAATTCAAGACTGCCTTAAGGACTTAAAAACGTGGATGACCTTAAACTTTTTGATGTTAAACACGACCAAAACTGAAGTTATTGTACTTGGCCCGAAGAATCTACGAAACAAATTATCTAAGGATATACTAACTATGGATGGCATTAATTTGGCCTCCAGTGAGACTGTAAGGAATCTTGGTGTTATATTTGATCAGGATTTATCCTTTAACGCCCACATAAAATCAATTTCAAGGACCGCCTACTTCCATCTACGTAACATTGCAAAAATCAGGCATATCTTGCCTCAAAATGATGCAGAGAAACTAGTCCATGCATTTGTTACTTCAAGGCTGGATTATTGTAACTCTTTATTATCAGGGTGTACCAAGAAGTCAGTCAAGTCGCTTCAGCTGATTCAAAATGCTGCAGCTCGTGTACTAACCAGAGTTAGGAAAAGGGACCACATTACTCCTGTTCTGGCTGCCTTACACTGGCTCCCTATAGAACACAGGATAGAATTTAAAATTCTTCTTCTCGCCTACAAAGCCCTTAATGGGCAGGCGCCATCTTACCTTAAAGAACTCATTATACCCTACTGTCCTACTAGGGCATTGCGTTCCAAGAATGCAGGGTTGTTGGTTGTTCCTAGAGTCTCTAAAAGTACAATGGGAGCCAGAGCCTTTTCTTATCAAGCTCCACATTTGTGGAATCAGCTTCCAGTTTGTGTTCGGGCGGCAGACACCCTATCCGTTTTTAAGAGTGCGCTTAAGACCTTCCTTTTTGATAAAGCTTATAGTTAGGGCTGATTAGATCCAGCCCCTAGTTTTGCTGATATAGGCTTAGTTTGTCGGGGGGACATCTTACTTCTTCTTTCTCTCTGTCTATACCTGTGTACTCTCATGTTCCGATTAACCCAGCTTCCCCAAATGTCTTTCTTTTTGGTGTCTATATACGCCGGGAATCCGGAGTCATGGATGATCCTGCGCTCCTCTGTCCTGGATCGCGAGCCCTGGATCTTGAGTCGTGGCTGTGGGTCCTGGATCATAGGCCCTGGATGGATATCCTCGTGGATTCATCTTCCTATTATACACACATGCATTTCCAAACATTTGGACGACCTATGTTGCAATGTATTATCTTTTCAATTACACACGGCATCTATTGCACGTCTGTCCGTCCTGGGAGAGGGATCCCTCCTCTGTTGCTCTCCCTGAGGTTTCTCCCATTTTTCCCTTTAAACTGTGGGTTTTCTCCGGAAGTTTTTCCTTGTACGATGTGAGGGTCTAAGGACAGAGGGTGTCGTATTGTCATACTGATATTTTGTACAAACTGTAAAGTCCACTGAGACAAATGTAACATTTGTGATATTGGGCTATATAAATAAACATTGATTGATTGATTGATCTCGGGGTCTTGTTCTCGAGTGAGGGAACAATGGAGCGTGAGATGGGCCGGAGAATCGGAGCAGCGGGAGCGGTACTGCAGTCGCTTTACCGCACCGTTGTGACGAAAAGGGAGCTGAGCCAGAAGGCAAAGCTCTCTGTCTACCGGGCCATTTTCGTTCCTACCCTCACCTATGGTCATGAAGGATGGGTCATGACCGAAAGAACGAGATTGCGGATACAAGCGGCCGAGATGGGTTTTCTCCGCAGGGTGGCTGGTGTCTCCCTTAGGGATAAGGTGAGAAGTTCGGTCATCAGGGAGGGACTCGGAGTTGAGCCGCTCCTCCTTCGCGTCGAAAGGAGCCAGTTGAGGTGGTTCGGGCACCTAGTTAGGATGCCACCTGGGCGCCTCCCTAGGGAGGTGTTCCAGGCACCTCCAGCTGGGAAGAGACCAAGGGGTAGACCTAGGGACCAGGTGGAGGGATTATATCTCTTCGCTGGCCTGGGAGCGCCTTGGGATCCCCCAGTCAGAGCTGGTTGATGTCGCCAGGGAAAATAAAGTTTGGGGCTCTCTGCTGGAACTGCTACCCCCGCGACCCGACCACGGATAAGCGGGAGAAGATGGATGGATGGATGTGTTTACAAATGTGTTTGTATTATATATTTTGGGCTATTAAAGTGACATTTCCTGGGTGACTGTCAGTTTATGGAGCTTAGCCCACAATTCCCGGAGGTTCCAGGCCGATTTTTGGAGCTCATAGGCGGCTTGCCATGCTCCCCCACCCATGGAAAGCCGAAAAAAAGTAAAGAAAACGGTCAATTATATCTTAAAAATAATCAAAATGAAGTTAAAAAAAATTCTCGAAAAAACGACAGAGTGCCAACGGAGGAGGCTCCAAAAAGCTCAAGTCTTCGGCGCTTCGGGCGGAAGCCCCGGACCATTTTCTCACTCCCCCGTTGCATTTTACAACGGAGAGGGGAATCGAGACCTCCCTTCCTCCGTCAAAAAAATGCATTCATGTTTTTCAAGCTACCATCTGCACGAAATCGGAAACCCGGTTTTTGAGAGGACTCAGAAAAAAAAACGGCTGTTTCACATCATGGAGGAATGTGTCTGCTACATGAGTGCTTTGGCTCGGATAAAATGTTGTTGCCTGGAGACCCCCAATCACGGTTTCTCACCAACATTTTAAGTTTTTGAACTGGCCTCTGGAGGAATGCAAGGGGAGTTTGATGGGACTCTCCCTGCATTATGATGCACTATTTTCGGATACATTTGGCCCAGTTTTTATGGTTCTCCCAAAAGTTAACAGAGTTTTTCCTGACTCTGGAGGAATGTAAGGAGAGTTGTCAGGGGACTCTACCCGCCTTAGGAGACACTATTTTGGGATACAATTTCTCCATTTTCACCCCTTCTTCCTCTGGTTCTCCCAAAAGTTAACAGAGTTTTTCCTGACTCTGGAGGAATGTCAGGAGAGTTGTCAGTGGACTCTTGCAGGCTTTTTTTCATTTTCAAGCAGCCCTTTTCTATGGATGAATTGAAACTTATTTGTTTTATATTTTGGTCAATTTGACCCAGTTGTGGTACCAGCATTGCCTGGAGGATAGGACCGAGAGATGACAGACTCTCTGGCCGCCAAACAAGTCACTATTGTCGGACATTTTTCTTTGCTTTACCCCAGGTTCTATCACTCTTTCCTCCTTTGACCATAAACGTGTTTCCTGCTGGGGTACTGCCTGGTTCCGGGGCACGCCAAGGCTGAAGCATAGTGTGGCCCTGCAATTGCTCCATGACCTCAGAGAGACTAATCCCATCATTGGAATGGCTACATCATTGGATATAGACAATGAGGAGGAATACCCGTTGCACACACCCTCCACCCTTCTCTCCCCACATACTGAGTGTGACGAAGAGGAACAAAGCACTTATATACTAAACAAAGGACTGGCTTATCTAAAGCCAGTTGAGTAGCACTTGAAATGTTTTAGCTCTATGAAACCTGATGTACTTATATGATTCTGTTTTCTTCAAGTTTGTATTTTGTTGGTCGAACGCACTTATTGTAAGTCGCTTTGGATAAAAGCGTCAGCTAAATGCAATGTAATGT